TGATGAACCAGGCTATTACTATGATTTAAGTAGTGGAAAAAAAACTTATAAAAATTCAGATCGTTTAATTAGCGCATGATTGTGTAAATATTGGAAGCCTTATACTGGAATCTCAATAGCAACCGTAATAGCATAAATTAAATAGTCTCCACTAATCGCAAATTACATTGTAATAAATCGTATAAAAATAAAAAATTGGGAGCCCAGCGGACCCCCTCCCTTTATTATTATAAAAATTATATTGCCAGGACAATATACAAATAAAAAATATATATTGCCGTTACAGGTGCGAATACAAATAAAAAAAGTTTAATGGTCTTTTACAAAACAATCCGCATGATTTTTTTTCATTTGCACATGCCCTCTCTGTGCTTTAAATTTAAAAATTTTTTCATTATCTACACGCAACTCATAGCTATTTATCCAAGTTATAAGATAGCTTTTTTGACCCTTAACTTCCACAGGTGTTATTTCATTTTCAGTCACCTGATTTATAAATTTCGCTTTCTCTATAGTGTCAATTGGACTTTCATTTTCATCTACAAGAATAACCCTTGCGACATCTTCGTTTAACTCTTCGACCTTTACTCGGATGTTATCACGACCAGTATCAAAGACTCCTGTCTCTCCCGACTTATATGAGAAAATATTTGCGGACATCACGACTGTTAATAAAAACATTGTCCATTTGTGTAAAAAAAGAAAAAAGAAAAAGGATCATGGGGGAACAAGGCTATTAATACATGAACTTGTGATAGTGTTTTCCGACCAGCTCTGCTAAAAAAACATTACCTTAGAACTAAATTGCCGGTAACTTATGTTAAACTTTTTTTCAAAAAATATATACGAGCAAAAAATAATGTTATTGCTAACTTATCTTATGGGCGGAAGCTTGCTTATTTTTATGCCGTCCATTCCTAAATCTAAAAAACAGCCAGAAAGAAAATACACGATTAGTAATTACATTACTCAAATCCAACGCCAGTTTTTTTTCTCCATAAAGCAACTCCGCTCGGCCATAAGCTCCATATACTGAATGTATTATAACTTTTTAGGTGAAATTAAACCCCCATAGATTCGACGATCGTTTAAAGTGGGTTTAAATCTGACGATCTCGGAGATGGCGGAGATTCCAAGTTCCTGCAACATATGAATTTTGATAAAAATACTAATAAAGAACGTTATACTCATTGCCCTTATAGCCTTTTTAAGTCTCATTCTTATCGCGGGATCGTAATAAAAAAATCGCACCGTGAGAAATAATTCTGCAGGAGAGTGACACCGCATTAATGCAGGCCATTGATTATTAAAGCCGGTCAAGGTTTTATCGCACATTCGAACTGATAAACCTGAACATCAAGTGATCGCTATCGTTATAAAAATATTAGTTAGCTATTAGGGTAGCTGCGCGACGCGGTGGTGTCGCGCCAAAACCAGGAACGTACTACAGATTGGTTTTGAAAATTATTA